TTTTAACAAGTCCAGTAGCTGTTATCGCTCTTTCCACTAGTGTTAACATCTTGATTATGACATTATTTTCACTTTGATATGTGATATCGATTTTAGCTGTTGCTGCAGATGAAAGTCTTCAAGTTATATCATTATATGAACATTGTTCGAAAACAATTATTCGATAAATATTTATTCGTATACAGCTGACAGTTTAGAAACTCCCATTACTCTCTTCATCTTCGAATGTTAGCGTATTAAGACAAGACAACAAATCTTTCCACGGAAGTTAGTATATGCTAACAGTGTTTGCGCATGCCTGTAATTACTTCCGTTTCCGTAATCATTATCCATTTTGATGTGTTATAGCCAAAGTCAGCGTAATGTAATGATGATGATATTGTCACTCTCGCCGGATCTTTTAAAATCATTTCAGATGAATTAATTTCTTTTTTTCTTCCTGCATGTCTTATTTTAATATATTTAAAATATTTTGTCTCTTTTTTTGCAGCAAAGGTCTTTATAAACGTTTTGTGATGTAAACGAACCCTCGTTGTCACTTTTGTGATGTCAACGAATACTCGTTGTCACTTTCGTAATGCTCGTTGTGGTAGAGACCTTATAATCGCAGATAGTATGCCGTCTAACAATACTGGTGCCAGACGCCTTCAAATATCACTCGCACGAATAGTACTTGCTCGAAAATAGTCGCTCGAACAGTAACCCGTATAGAGAAATAGTATAGTGAATAGAGTAGAGAAAAGCGGTCCGTATAGTAATAGAGGATAGACTAGAAATGGTGATCCAAATAGTTTCCTCTAGGATAGAATTCAAATTGAGATCCAAATGTTTGCTAGAGGATAGAATAGAAATAACGATCTTTAGTCGATCACTTTCTACTTTCCAACATATATGCAGTCTTACCTAAGAATAACGTTTTCTATGGTCAATAACTGATTGATTTTTTTTTACGGGATATCTACATTTTGTTTGTTATTTAAACCACTTTAATCATTTCACCCCAAGCAAGGCGATAATGTCACTAAGACGTAAGGAGTTACTGAAAGTGAAATAAAAATGGGAAAACGTTAGTGAAGAGAAAAGGTCAATAAAAGAACAGGTTTCAGGCAGACAAAAGATAGGGATTGATGTTACTTTTACAATTTTGAAGATCGTAGTTGACTTGAAAGAAAGAAACCGGAAAAGATTTCCATAAACGAAAAGTGCGAGTGAAGAAACTATTAGAGTAGAACTTACGGTTGCATATAATTATTTCAACAGAACAATGAGACCTCGTTGCTTTCTAGTACTACGCTTAAATTTATGAGATCGAGGTACCCAGCCAGAAATCTCATTATAACAATAGCCATAAAAATAATTAGTCACAACGAACTAGGTTGTGACAGTGGGAATGTGACTGAGGCCGAGATATCAGAGCATGGCAATAACATTATAAATCCTTCTTTGAATTGTTCAGTGCGGCACTTTTAAGAAAAGCTGAACACCTAACAGGAATTATTAAAGGCAGACAAAATCTTAAAAGTGCAGATAAGACCATGTTAAGCGGGACTTCAGCAGAAAAACTGAAAGAACTCCTAGGCTAGGCACAAGAAAAAGCGAGAAGAAAGGACTATTAACCGACGGAAGACAATGTATGGTCGTTAGCAAAAGAGACACTCTTCTGGGGTTGGTCTTGTTTGACGGCGTCAATCCCATAATAAAAATGTCCCCTGGCCGGGTAGCGAAATATTTTGGGGGTGCAGATATGAAAAGACATCAACAAAAGGAGGTTTTGAAAACTTAGCTATTATTTTATTAACCGTCTTGACGTGGACATTTTTAACTATCCAGTGGGGTCGCTCTCTCACGCCAACTGGGGAGCAATTTCCCAGAGACGAAAGTATCACGGCTCCATTGTATGACGTGTAAGACTAAACTCACTGAAATCCCTTTCTACATCCAACATTCCTAGTTTTAACCAATCAAAAACGACTTCCTTTGTTTTCCTGTATCTGACCTCAAAGGTCAAAATGAGAAATTAGATGAGAAATTCAATTCTCTAAAAATAATAGTCTGCTAGACTATTATTTAACAATATGCCTATAGGCTGTGTAGTAACAGATGAAACCAAAAACGCTGAATTTCTATATTTCCTATATTGGAGTGGATACTTCATAATTTCATCGGAGAAGACTGGTGATAACAAAAATGTGGTTCTACAGAAGGATGCTGAGAATCCCATAGATGGGGCCTGTAAAGAACAAAGACGTTTTAAGGAAAATAGAAACAAAAAGATTACTTATGCATAAAATCCGAAAGTGACAAATGAAATGAAATGAAGAAAGAAAACCTGGAGAATTCGACACTCAAAAGACACATTGAAGGCAGTTTGTTTGAATGGATGGCAGAACAGCGTGGGTGGGATTGTTGGCAAAAAACAAACATTACTCAGAGCAACGAAGGACAAGAAGTTGTGGGAAGTCATGATCGCCCACTTGAATAATAATAATAATAATAATAATAATCAAAAGGAAGTCATACCAAACAAAATGCGAATACCAATGACATTATTCCATCATCACCAAGCGGACTGAATTTACGCCTACCGCGATGAACGAGTGTTCTCTAAGGGAGAGCCTTGAGTGATTATTGGGGCTTAAACTCAACGCAGACCTCAAGTGGAATTTGTACATACAATCCGTCGCTAAAGAGGCTGGAAAAAAGGGCGGGCCAGAATCGACTGCTTCAATCCCAACCACGAATTTTAATAGAGGCGAGCAAGCGGAAATCACCAATGTCCGATTGACGCCCAAATGTTTCCATTCACTTCTTTATTTATTCTTCTGTTCTCATTCGGTCAAGTGGGTGCCGCTTAGATGATCCGACATCAAAGACTTTATGCAGCAGCCATAAAATAGGAAACACTTGAGATCGAGATAAAATGTACGTCACCACCCCCATCTATGGCACGACTACAATAAATTCATTCATGTATTAAGTTGTATATATTTTTTAATGACTTACTAACAATTACAAATCAGTAACTTAAAACGTTTGTTTTCTCATTGTATTTTTATTTTTATTGATTTATTTTTCTTTCCTTCCTTTGTAATTTTTCTAATAATAATAATAATAATAATTATTATTATTATTATTTATTTCTGAATTCTTCAAAATTATTTTTATTTCGCTTCTTGGGATCTTCAATTTTTTTTTCTAGTTTTCTTGGGATGGTCAATGTCTTCTTATTTCCTTCTTGGGTTCTCCAAATATTTTCTTTGTTTTAGTTTTTGTTTCTTGGGTTGTTCGAAGTTCATAGTTGTTTTGTTGTTTTTTTATTTCGTCCAAGTTCGTTTTTTTTATTTGCATCTAGGGGTATTGAAATTCTTTTTCCTTGTTTTATTGCTTCTTGATTTTGCCAAAGATTCTCTTTTGCTTCTATAGGTAATAATAATAATAATGATAATAATAATAATAATAATAATATATTATTATTATTATTATTATTTGTGCATGTTATATTTCCTGTTTTGTATCCTGTAGAGACGGGTTCAAACTATGATCATTTGGCATTATAAAAGAATTGTCATTTGATGAGAGCTGTTCCGCTGGTGTAGCCGGAAATAGTAGTTCCTGTGTGCTATGGCGGCGGAGCATGTGATTTCACTTGGTATTTCCGGGAAGGCATGATGGTAAGTTCATGCTGGTTTTGACCCAAGAAAAAAACCTGAGTGGCGCTTTATTCAACTGGGCGGTCGAAGATGTCAGTCTAAGGGACGTCACGAAGAAAATCCCGGAATAAGTCCCAATCAGAATGCTGATAACGGAAAGAGGTCTTATGGATAAGGGGTTTCTGTTTAATGGATGCTTGGAAGGCGATATCAATAGTTACCACAGAGTGGTCAGAGTTACCAAGACGGCAGTATTGTGAAGCTTGGCAAGAGCGGGAAGAGGAGGTAAGAAATAGATTCAATAGAGAAAACATGTTGCTTAGTTTGGCTAGGGAAACGAGAACAGGATTTGTGTGAGGGAATGGGCAATGGAAAAATTAAATGTCTGTATACAGACATTATCAGTACCTTTAGAATGTTTCAGCCACCTGTTGTTGTGAGAATTAAAGTCACCGAAGAAAAAAGATATTCACAGATGGATGGAGAGAATGTGCCTTTTCTGTGCTGTCAGATATTGCGTCTAATATACTGCAGTCTTTGGGGAGCGCTAAAAGAAAAAGAGAGTCTAGTAGCAAAAGACGAAAGCACGTGAAAGAGTAGTCAGTGACACCGAGAGACAATTCCCTGGCCGTCGGCAGATTATTCCGGATGTAAACACCAAGGCCATGCATGTGAATGCTGGAATCTTCACGGCAAAGATACCCTGGTACCAAGAATTCTTTGGCCGTGGTGGAAGAATTCAAGTTGGTTTTACAAAGATATCTGACGACCGTTCCAGGAGGAAGGATTCTACTCTGCAGAAGTTGGAACGGATACCGCGAATATTGGAGAAAGAAAAAATTGAGGTGGGCTGTTTTTTTTTTTTAAAACTGGTTTAGTTTTATTCCTTTTTGTTGTGATTTCCATAAAATGTTTTGATGAGAGAAGAAAAAAAAACCCACCATAATTGTCACCATTTATCGTCAACGGCAATACAAACCAGCCAGCGTGTCTGAGAGCAGAACATAAAGTGACACCAGGGTTGTTTACCGGAAATAGATGCAGGGACACCTACCCATGCGCGATATGGCACTACAGATATCCCGATATTATGCGACTGTTGATAGGAGTAGCCTATGTAAGTGCTACCAAAGTGTTCGGGGTTTTAACGACCAGTCGGAAGCTGCTGCCAACAAACTGCCACCCCGGTACACTCATAATGGAAAATTATATCCACTGATTAGTCTGATCACAAAAGAGTTAAGTCACTTAAATCGTTGAGGCCTGGGGAGAGAAATAAATAAAGAAAGAGAACCGGTAAACCATATCTTGAACAGGGAACAGGGATGAACCTCCACTCCTGTTCAATAGACATGGAAGGAGTGCGGATCGAACGAGAGGTGAGCCTTCCTATCTATCTATCTATCTATCTATCTATCTATCTATCTATCTATCTTTCTTTCTTCTTTCTTTCTTTCTTTCTTTCTTTCTTTCTTTCTTATTGGGCGATAGATGAGCCTATCTATCTATCTATCTATCTATCTATCTATCTATCTATCTATCTATCTATGTCCGTTTCTTTCTTTCTTTCTGATCGGGCGATAGGTGAGCCTAGCTACTCCTATCCTACATATCCTCAGAATTTGCACTTACTTCTTCCTCTTATAACCTCATTCAGTAACTCTCTATATTGAGTGGCTCTTGAGACTTGAATTCAGTAAAATTACTTCAAAGTGTTATCTGTCCTACATGTCCTTATAATCTTTACTTACTTCCTCGTATTACATCCATGCAACAACCTCAATTAGTAACCCTCTACCATCTTCGGCTTTGTATTTGGTGAACTCAAAGAATCGCTCAAGGGATCGTTATAGATATATCAAAGTTCTTTGATAAAGTGTGCCACACGGGATTCTTACACAGACTGACCAGATATGGAATCATTGGAAGAGTCCTCAGTTATTAAGTCTTTCCTCTCATATATGTCTAGGAAGATTGTTGCGAATGGCTTCCTTGGTCATTTCATTATCTTCTAGGGTCAGCCATTATCTGTCCTACATATCTTCATAATTTGCACTTCATTTTTTTACGCCTAACCTATAACCTCACTCAGGCAACCTATACTTTGAGTGATTCGTGGGCCGTGTATTAGGTGAACATTTAGTTAAAAATGTATTAAGTAAACATTTAAAGAATTGTTTTTCACTTCGTATTCCCTCCACTTAGCTATGGGTTAAATAGTCGGATTTGTATCGGGAAAAAATCATTTTTATTCCCCCCAAAATTCAATATTCACTGGCAAAAAAATAATTTTTTTACAACCCAAAATATCCTTTGGAATATTATCGGTCCTGACCTGGCATCTCGGCTTTAGTCACTTTCCCACCACCGTGATGTGGCTACAAACTGTCTTTTCTATAAATATTTTCATGGAAGTTGCTCTAATAACCCCCCTTCTTTGATATTTCGACCGCATGATTTTGAATGTACTACTAGATTGTCTATTAGGTCTCATCATTTTTGATCATTTTCATGGTTTTTAATTTTCTAATCGGGCACGAATTTTTCCAGTGTTCTAATAGCTAGACGCAACCGCAAGTTCTATTCGAATAGTTTCTTTTCTCGCATTCCTCACCCACGGAATTCTCTTCCGACTTTTTTTCTGCACCTGTCTTAAAAAATTTAAGTGCCACGTCAATCATCATCTATCTTTCTGAAATGTGTTCTTTTATTGTCCTTTCTCTTCACTAAAGTCTTCTCATTCTCTTCCACTTACAGTAACTCCTTGTGTCTTAGTGACATTATCGCCTTGCTTGGGGTGAAATAGTTAAAAAATGTTTCGGATTTAAATATCTCACAAAGGGTAGATAAACCGTAAAAATCAATCAATCAGTCAAGTCTCTTCTTTCTAGACGCAGAAATAAAATTATTCTCAGTCAAGACAAGTGATGGTAAATATTAGATTTTGTTTTTAAGAGCTTTGTAATATAGAAACAAAAAAAATAAAATATTTTAAATACCGTATATAATCGCGCAACGCGCGATCTTGCGTATGGTGCGACCCCCAAAATTTTACTAATAAAAAATGATTTTATCATGAATCTCGTGTATCATGCGAGTTCCTTTTTGGATATACCCCTTTCTGCCTCCCATCAGCTCCTGCTATATATCTAGAGATCCTTGATAAAATCTAAAGAAGAATCAGCAATATTATTAGTCCTGATCTGGTTTTAAGTGAATTGGCTGGCAAAGTCAGCTGTTGTACAAATCTTCTTCAGAGTCGTTTGTTCCCTATTGTTCACTGACTGGACATGTATGCAAACAGAAACCAGCAACTCCCAACTGAAGTGACTTTGCTGAAGTATTTTTAAATTCTTGCCAGTAAGGCTTTATGTTTTCCTTTTTAGCCCCCTGACCAAATCAATAAAATTAAAAATAAAATTTGTTTTGTTTACTATAAGACTTAGTTGGTCTTCTGTTTTTCTCGTGATATATAGCAGGAGCTGATGGGAGGCAGAAAGGGATTTCTCAAATGATTATTAGAGAGCAGTTTAATCTTGGAGGAAAATTTGCTTGAAAAAAAAAATCAACTTATTAAATTTCAATAAAATTTAAATTTTATTTTGTTAATTATAATTTAGCTTTATGATATATAAAAAGAAAAAAAAAGATTTTCAAAAGGATATTTGAATACTTTAAAATCCATTTAAATACTTGTTTTATTCTTTCACCTCTATTCTGAAATAGAATATTTTGATTAAATAACAACAAAATAGAATAACTAAAAAAGCTTGCATGATCAAAAGGTGTTACCAGTTAAATTTTCAGATATTTTGGTTAAGAGTATACTAAAAACAGTGCCACTAAAGAATTTACAGTTGTACTAATTTCATTACCAACTAGAGTTTCCACAACCATGTTCACCACATTAGCAATTACTGTTTGTATAGCAGTACTAACTATTATTTTCAGGTCTAATGAAATAAAAAATTATTTGGATTTATTTGTTTTGTTTACTATAAGACTTAGTTGGTATTCTATTTTTCCCTTTATTTCTCTATATTATTTCTTTTGTCACACACATGACAAAAAGGCACAGGGAAGCAACTTCATGGCAGTGGGAAAGTAAGTGAAGTCTAGATGCCAGACCAGGACCAATAATATTGCTGATTCTCCTTTGGATTTTATCCAGAATCTCTAAATATATAGCAGGAGCACTGGACCATATGTGGCAAAAATATTCAAAGCATAGATGATTGGTAGACTCCTAGACGGAGGGCTTGTTAATTTTAATTCCTCCAAAAGTAAACTGCTCTCTAATAATCATTTGAGAACCCCCTTTCTGCCTCCCATCAGCTCCTGCTATATATCTAGAGATCCTTGATAAAATCTAAAGAAGAATCAGCAATATTATTAGTCCTGATCTGGTTTTAAGTGAATTGGCTGGCAAAGTGAGTTATACAAATCTTTTTCAGAGTCGTTTGTTCACTATTGTTCACTGACTGGACATGTATGCAAAAAGAAGCCCGTAACTTCCAAATGAAGTTATTTGCTGAAGTATTTTTAAATTTTTGTCAGTAAGACCAGATGTGGCGACAATTTTCAAAGCAAGGACGAATGGTAGACTTATAAATATGTAAGATAGATTCTGGCGAGAAAAAATTTGTTTAGCACCAGGTAGTGAACCAACTTTCTTAGCTGCAAACATAGCAATGAATACGTATTCTTCGTAATGAATACGAGTGATAGTGTTCGAAACGTTCTTAGAATATTTGTTCCGTGTGCTGATTAAGAGATTTCTCAGGTTCAGTTTAACACAGTCTCTAAGCCGCAAGGTAATTTACGCAGTTCCAATGCTGTCTGGTCATAGACTCGTGTAATGCTTTTCCTCATTATAGCTTCGAGTCAGTTAAAGGAATCTTTCTACCATTTATCTACAGAGCAATTTTTTTTTTCGTTTTCAAGAGAGGCTTCCCCTACAAAACATATGGCACTTATTACGTTCAGTATTGACATAGAGTTTTCCTTCTCTAACTCTTCTCTGCCTCGTTTTAAAAAAAATGTTTTTCAGTGGAAATAATTTTAGAATCTCTTTTTGAAAGCAACAAACGATATTATACGCTGATTTATTCGAATTGGTGTATCTTTGTTGGTCGTTTTAGTTACAAGGTTTCTGTTGTTGCATACTCCAGCCTTCTTCAGGGTCCTAATATATTCGTTATTATATATGTATGATATTATTATACAACATATTGTCACACACACACACACACACATATATATATATATATATATATGTATGATATTACTATATAACATATTGTTATATATATACTATATATGTATAATATTATTATACAGCATATTGTTACATATATATTATATAGGTATAATATTATTATACAACATATTGTTATATATATATATTATATATGTATAATATTATTATAGACTTGAAAAAAGAAGACTTGAAAAAAGAAGGCTTGAAAAAAGAAGATTTGAAAAAAGAAGACTTGGAAAAAAAGACTTGAAGAAAAGAAGACTTGAAAAAGAGAAGATTTGAAAAAAGAAGACTTGAAGAAAAGAAGACTTAAAAAATAGAAGACTTGAAAAAAAGAAGACTTGAAAAAAGAAGACTTGGAAAAAGAAGACTTGAAAAAAGAAGACTTGAAGAAAAGAAGACTTAAAAAATAGAAGACTTGAAAAAAAGAAGACTTGAAAAAAGAAGACTTGGAAAAAGAAGATTTGAAAAAAGAAGATTTGAAAAAAGAAGACTTGGAAAAAAAGACTTGAAGAAAAGAAGACTTGAAAAAGAGAAGATTTGAAAAAAGAAGACTTGAAGAAAAGAAGACTTAAAAAATAGAAGACTTGAAAAAAAGAAGACTTGAAAAAAGAAGACTTGAAAAAAGAAGACTTGAAAAAAGAAGACTTGAAAAAAGAAGGCTTGAAAAAAGAAGACTTGAAAAAAGAAGACTTAAAAAAAGAAGACTTGAAAAAAAAATAAAAAAGAAGACTTGAAAAAAAAGACTTGAAAAAAAAAAAGAAAAAGCTTGAAAAAGAAGACTTAAAAAGAAGACTTGAAGAAAGAAGACTAAAAAAATAGAAGACTTGAAAAAAGAAGACTTGAAAAAAGAAGACTTGAAAAAAGAAGGCTTGAAAAAAGAAGACTTGAAAAAAGAAGACTTAAAAAATAGAAGACTTGAAGAAAAGAAGACTTGAAAAAAGAAGGCTTGAAAAAAGAAGAAAAAAAAGAAAAAAAAGAAGACTTGAAAAAGAAGACTTGAAAAAAAGAAGACTTGAAAAAAGAAGACTTGAAAAAGAAGACTTGGAAAAAGAAGACTTGGAAAAAAGACTTGAAGAAAAAAAAATAGAAGACTTGAAAAAAGAAGACTTGAAAAAAGAAGACTTGAAAAAAGAAGACTTGAAAAAGAAGACTTGAAAAAGAAGACTTGAAAAAAAGAAGACTTGAAAAAGAAGACTTGAAAAAAAGAAGACTTGAAAAGACTTAAAAAAGAAGACTTGAAAAAAAGAAGACTTGAAAAAAAGAAGACTTGAAAAAAAAAGAAGACTTAAAAAGAAGACTTAAAAAAAAGACTTGAAAAAGAAGACTTGAAAAAAAAGACTTAAAAAAAGAAGACTTGAAAAAAGAAGACTTGAAAAAAGAAGACTTGAAAAAAGAAAGGAAAAAAAGAAGACTTTGAAAAAAACTTGGAAAGAAGATTTGAAAAAAGAAGACTTGAAAAAAGAAGACTTGAAGAAAAGAAGACTTGAAAAGAAAGATTTGAAAAAAAGAAGACTTGAAAAAAGAAGACTTGAAAAAGAAGACTTAAAAAAAGAAGACTTGGAAAAAGAAGACTTGAAAAAAAAGGCTTGAAGAAAAGAAGACTTGAAAAGAAGACTTAAAAAAAGAAGACTGAAAAAAAAGAAGACTTGAAAAAAGAAGGCTTGAAAAAAGAAGACTTGAAAAAAGAAGACTTGAAAAAAGAAGACTTGAAAAAAGAAGACTTGAAGAAAAGAAGACTTAAAAAATAGAAGACTTGAAAAAAAGAAGACTTGAAAAAAGAAGACTTGGAAAAAGAAGACTTGAAAAAAAGAAGACTTGAAGAAAAACTTAAAAAGATTTGAAAAAAAGAAGACTTTGAAAAAAGACTGAAAAAGAAGACTTGAAGAAAAGAAAAGACTTAAAAAAAATAGAAGACTTGAAAAAAAAAAAAAGACTTGAAAAAAAAAAGAAGGCTTGAAAAAAGAAGACTTGAAAAAAGAAGACTTGAAGAAAAGAAGACTTAAAAAATAGAAGACTTGAAAAAAAAGAAGACTTGAAAAAGAAGGCTTGAAAAAAGAAGACTTGAAAAATGAAGACTTGAAGAAAAGAAGACTTAAAAAATAGAAGACTTGAAAAAAAGAAGACTTGAAAAAAGAAGACTTGGAAAAAGAAGACTTGGAAAAAAATACTTGAAGAAAAGAAGACTTGAAAAAGAGAAGATTTGAAAAAAGAAGACTTGAATAAAGAAGACTTGAAAAAAAGAAGACTTGAAAAAAATACTTGAAAAAAGAAGATTTGAAAAAAGAAGACTGGAAGCAACAGAAATGTCGCTCAACAGAAAGAATGTTGGAAATACCATGGAGCAAATATGGAAGCAACGAAAACGTTTTAGTGAAAATGGAAACGAAAAGGACGCTTATACTTAACATCAGAAAGAGACGGTCGAAATTTACTCACAGGGCATATTGGAGGCAAGATCGAGTGATTCTTTTTTCACGGTTTGTCAACCCATTGCAGGTTATTTAAAGCGAGACAATATTTTTAGATTTTTTTGGTGTTGTAATGATACAAGTCTTACTAATTAGCCCATAGCTGTGAGGGGAAGAAGTGCTCACACCTTTCCCAAAGGTAGTTTACGTAAGTGACTCGAGTTACAATTGTGAGCCATTATTCATTATGCCACTCGCATATCCAAGCTTACACCACCTGGTATTCCCAGCCATCTGACCAGGCCATTGTTTAACTTCAATGATCATACGAGAACCGTTATTTCAACATGATATAAGTGTAAGCTCCAGACGAACAGAGGAAAACGACGCATAACCTATCTAGAGAGCTTCAGTAAATAGTTGGTGGAGCAAAGGTTAGGCGATAAAAAAAAAAGATAATATTTATAAACAGCCAAAAAACAAAAGAAAATTGTGGAAAGCCATGAAAACTACAGTCGCTAAAAAAAATAAATATATATTATAATAGATGGACCTAAAAATATATGAAAAAATATAAGTTTTATTTAAAATTGACATTATTATTATACAGGGTAGATCGAAAGTCTTTTCACCCCTATATAATATAATTTTCTATTTCAGATGGCTGACACGAGCTCCTACAGTTTGGAAGAGAGGCTCAGAGTGACAAAACTTTCGGAGCTCCCTGTAATTAGTTTTAATAGAAAATATTAATTTCAACTTTAAATAAAAACTAATATTTTTTTTCATCTAATTTTAGGTACGTCTATTTTATTTAATCCTTATTTATTTTAAATATAAAATAAAATATTTATCCCCGTTTTTTTATGCATATAAAATAAACATTCCGTTTATTTTAAATGCAACATAAAATGAATATAGTATAATAAAAATTAAAAATGAGAATATTTCAAATCGTAGTTAAATAAAAAGTATTATGATCTGAACACCCCCGAAAATCTTTAAATTTATAAATGGAAAAAAAATGCCGTAAGAATTTTTTTACCGTTAACAATAATTTAAAAAAATAATCCAGACGACATGCATTCAATGGATGTCAATTTTCATTGAAAAATACATCCCTAGCCCTTACCAAATTGTAGCTAATAACTGATACAATGATACTGTCATAAGGAAAACCTAGACATCCCTTGTCCAATTGAAGTAGAATATTCTGTAACCATGGAAACGTGATTTTAGTTGCGTCATTAAAACCCAGTAATTTTTTAAAAGTTACTCCAAAATTCGCTTGAGGATGAAATGGAACTAATGCTTTTAATTTAATTGCAAAATTAAATTCGGGGCTTTTAGCTTCTATTTTTGAAACATGGTTAGAACTGTGTAGCGGTAAAAACCATATTTTAAATCAATTAATTTATAATATATATATATATATATATATATATATATATATATATATATAAAGCTCTAACCCCTGTATAATATATATATAAATAGGTCAAGGTTAGGTCACTCCCTACCCCAATATAAAGCTTATTTAAGAGAGATATAAATTTAACCCTCCTATACTCTGTATTGTTTCTTTAACTGCTACTTTCACCCTCCCTGTTTAATTACAAAAAATTACACTACCCATCAATTTCTAATCCCATTTTTCCTCTCATTTCATTGTTGGAAGTGTTACCTGATGATCCGGAATCCTTTAAAAAGGATTTTGCTGAAATAAATTATTGTAATGGTGCCTTAAAATGGTCTGTTTTTTTATATATATATATATATATATATATATATATATATATATATATATATATATGCAGAAAACTTACTTAGGATAATTCGATATCAGACTTGATACCAGACAAAAAATCACGGTGGAAAATTGTTAGAAAAGATAAATAAATAAATAGATAAACAATCGCAAAATGGGGAGACGAGAGAAGAGGAACTGGTTTTGGAAATTCTAATATTTATTTCCTTAAAATGATAAAATTCGGAATAGCAATTTCTTAAATAATTATGAGAAAACATTATGCGGGGGCGCGTAGAGATCACTATCAAATAACCATCTACCTATTTCTCCTATATTTTTTGATTAATGGTATCTGTCTATATTTCTCAGAGGAGGTGTTGTAATTATTTACTCTATTTACATTGTTCGGACTGCTATCCTCATCTTTGTTGCCATATTCACGACATTTCGGCTGTTGAACGCTCCGGCCTTTTTCAGGTGATTGGCATTTCGAACTGAACCCTTTATTCATCCACTGGAAGATGCATGTTAAGTGGAACTAGATCAAGCTACCCTGGTGGAAGTTATAAGAAAGTTTACTGCATTTCAGTACACTTCATTATAACTTCTATATCTTTTATATCTTATATATATATATATATATATATATATATATATATATATATATATATATATATATATGTGTGTGTGTGTGTGTGTGTGTGTGTATGTGTGTCACAGGGAATGTATTAGGTCGGTCAAAAGTCCCGACACACTTAGGAAGCGGAAGAAAACAAAATTTTATGGAGTAACACCAACATTTATTCTTCAAAATAAAGTCCATCATTCTCAATGATATACCATTCTCGTAATCTTTCGTAAGGTCACGGCTGCTTGCGGATGATTCAACTTTCAATGCTGCCACAAAAGCCTCGCTGTCTGCCGGAACGTGCTTGATCGTCAAGGGTGAGAATTCCGGTGTTGAAACGTCTGTATCACCTCAAGACATTCGACTGACCGAATGCGCCTTCACCTTCGGTGTCACAAATTTCCTTCGTAGCACTTGTAGAAAGTCTTCGCTTGTAACTGTAGCAAATCAAAAATCTAATTACACTTTCTTCCAAACACATTTCTGTCAGTTGGGGGCCTACGCAAAGTGGGGAAACTGCGCAGGAGCAACAAACAACCGCAGAGTACGGAGGCTTGTAGTCAAATGAGTAAGGACGTTCTGGCTGACCTAAACTAATTTTGCTGTTGCTCCATGAAACTGTGCTGTTTCCTTTCCACTTTTTGAATGCGTCAAGACTTTCTGGCCAACCTAGTATTTAGTGATATCTATATGACATCAGTGTGAAACCGCCTTCACTAGTTAGGGGCCAGGACCTGTACGTGGGGCACTCGAGTACAGGACGCATTCCCGGTGTTCATATATTATGTTTACCACGTGAACTACGATAAAATCTAAAAAATGAAATTAATTATATATATATATATATATATATATATATATATATATATATATATATATATATATATATACATATATATATATATATATATATACATATACATATATATATACATACATACATATATATATATATATATATATATATATATATATATATATATATATATATATATATATATATATATATATATATATATATATATATATATATATATATGCATATATATATATATATATATATATACATATATATATATATATATATATATATATATAAAAATTATATAGAAAACAGAAAATATTGCCCAAATCGTGTAACAGCATGGGATAATTGTCCATCCCACAATATCTAAAAAAAAAAAAAAAAATCACTAAACTAATTGAGTTTCTTTTGTTTTTTTTTCAGCTCTTCAGCTAAGAGGTTTACCCATCTTGACACCATTTGTTGTAAGAATTACTGAAAAATTCTTTGAGTTATTCAGCTAGAAAGAGAAGAGTTTAAAATTATTTTGTGTCAGCCCCGCTATCTTCCCTAATGAGTAATGGTGAGAGGAAAAAGATGATTCAGGCTTTCAGTAATTATACCAACATTCATGCTCTGGCTTCCATCTTTAACGTCCAGTCAAAACACATCAAAGGAACGGTGAATAAGTTTAAAAGAGAAGGAACAGTTGAGAGGAAAACTGGATTAGGATGTCACAACTGGAAGAGGGATCATCATTTCAAATTAGAGTTAAAGAGGTCAATTAGAAAAGATCTAACTCAATCATTAAGACGTTTGGTGAGGAGTTTGAGCTTATGACAGTTCAAAGAGTAGTGAAAAAAGTCTTGAAAATGAAATCCTACGTGAAACGTATGAAACAGTTTGTTACTGTTTTGTTGAATATTTGTGTGAACATCTATAGTTATCATCCGTTCCTTGGTTTTCTCGAAAGTTTTATAATCATTTAAGAGAGATTCTAATTTTTCAATGTACTTGTGGCTATCCATGATAACTAATCAGCCAGCTTTATCTGATTGGGTTATAATTCTGTTTCTATTTTCAGACAAGTGTTTTAGTGACAGTAGGTATCTCCTGGGTGGTGGTGTTTCTTAGGCAATGAAATAAGGAAGAGACAAGAAAATTCTGGTACTTTTTTATTTTTTGTTTAATTTTTTGAAAAGCGAAACATGTTAAATTTATAAAAGTTTTCTAATTGTCCCTTATTATATCATTCTGTCAGATTCTAATTTATATTTGGTTCAATATATATATATATATATATATATATATATATATATATATATATATATATATATATATATATATATATATATATATATATATATATATAATAAAAGGCTTAAACACTAATATTCCATTAATTTATTCCATTGGAATCGTAAATACGATCCAATTCATCAAACCTACAAATTCAAAAAAGAAAAAGAAAAAACAACTCCGGAAATAAAAAATAGAATTTAGAGAGTGTAAGTATGAGAGTGTGGGACGAATGTTAGACCTAAAGAGAGGGGTAACAGACGAGAGAAGGTGGAGATTAAACCTTAACAGAGAGAAGTTTAGAGGTGAGTGGAAGAGGTTTAAGTGAGAGAAACATAAATGTTGTCGAATGTCTAATATATTAAAGATACATTTACGATATATGTATT